GATTGTCCATGACATTTATATCGTTTCCACTTATCATAAAATCTTGGTCATATATAATATTTTGCTTTCCTTGTCATAATTTCATGTTTATTGTGATGTATATATGAGTATGACCATGCCTACACGGCTACACCTTATTGGAATGATAAATAAAAGAAGAATATTGATATTGTCGATCAAACTAGTGAATATCACATTTGTGTTATCTTTTTTTTAAAAATAAAATAAATTATTTCCCTCTTAAAGATATGGAAATATACTTTGCTTTCAATTTATGTAATACTTTTTGCATTTTAAAATTCAACCAAGTCTATTTTTAGCCGTTATTTTTTCTATATTTTAAAAATATTTTTGACCTAATTTAGATAAATATAATATCTCGTTAAAACTCTTCCATATCCTTTTAATCAATCTCCTAAAAATAGATTTTTTCAAACTTTGTTTTTATATATATATGCATGCACATTTAAAGTCTGCTCTCACTATTTGTTTGTTGTTTCCTTACTTAAGCTTTTCAAAGTTCTTTCTGTTTCTAAGCATGTGTTGCCACTCTTTCACGCATTTTTTTTGAAGGCCAAAAATACTAAAAATGTATATGATATATTCAAATTGATGAGTATTATTGAAAAGATGATAACACAATATTTATGGGTATAATTGTAAAGTTTGTATATTCTATATATAGTAAATAAGTTTGTACGCTATATATAGTACTATATAATATAATGATACCTTTTTTGTAATATATTTATATATAGTAAGAATACAAGATATATACTTAATATATGAAAACATTTTATTGGACGTGCTAGCTAATTGTACTCTATATATAGTAATAATAAAATATTAGGTATATGATATATACTTGTTTATGAAATAGCGTGCTAATAGACTGTGTTGGGGCCTTTTTAGGTAATTAATTGTTGTATTTTGATATGCATTTAATGTTGTCATCACTAGTATAGGAAATTTTCTTGCCTAAATTTTTCACTAGTTTAGTTTGTAATATTATATATTTTATGAAATTTTGATGTGCCCATATACATTTAGGTATGTCCAGATACATGTATCTCGAGATACATGCATGAGATCAAATTAGGTATAATTTATTCTAGATACATACATCATACATTAAGTAGATTCACATATATCTGGATACATAACAAATTTTGGTTGCCTCCCTCGCATCTCTTTCATCTCGCTCGCCACTTTCCTATGTATCTGGTATCCCAAATACATGCAAATCACACCAAATACATACAAATACATGTATATGGTGTATATCTAATATGATTCACACGTATTTGAAATACATAACGAATCTCACTCACCTCCCTCCCCTTCTTGCTTGCCTCTCTCCTTATTTTGTGGATATATGTTGATTAATTGAACCACGCTAAACTACTATATCTTTTTGATATATTTCTTTTGTGTTGTCTGTTTTATCATCTTTCAAGGTTCTACTATGTTAACTTATACATTACGCTATGGTTATTTTACTCCGAACACCTCAGATCCTTCCACCTTATAATTGGACCCCAATTTTCCTAACTCATTTGATATATACTCATGCTAAAATCAAGAACTCATTTATTAGCACTTATATATAGTCATTTTTCATTACTAACCCCTAAATGGATGCCACGTTATGTGTATTTAAATATTTGAAAGTCAAGGTATGAAAACCTTGTGCTTTAACATATTCTTATCAAATACATTTAACAAACGCTTCCATTGACATTCATACAAAAAAAATTGAGAATAATCAAATTTGACATAAGTACCTTCCGGGACATTTGATAAAATTGCAACGATGCAGAGAGAATTAGTATGGTGATGGCCTCTAGGATAACCCGCTTAGCTCAGTTTGTCATCGGTTCGATTTCGATAGCCGACTTTTCCCAAATTTTTTTTTCTTTTTTTAGATGATTGCACAAATTTTGAAATGGTCCAAGATAGTTTTGATTAAAAAAAAATTGACATAAATTTCAGCTTTGATCAATACACAAGTACGGTATAACATTTTCAGCATGTAATGCCAGATATGAGGCAAAAAAAATAATGAGATTACAATGGAAGCAAATTATATTTGTCAAACAAATTAAATTTACCCTAAAAGAATGAACCAATATATCTCCTCTGTTTCCTGAATATATCCTACGTCACTATCGACACATGTAAATTTGTTTGTTATTTTTATCTTATCATGAAAATGTATAGTTAGATTGTTAATATAATAATAAGCCAAGACTTATATATATTCAATCCAGAGTCACGCCCAATGCAATTTTAGTTTGCGGTATCCATTATGAGGAGGATATATGAGGATGAGGATGAGCAAACTCTTTACGACCTGCAAAGTTCCTTTGACCAACTTGGCTTGTAATTTGAGTACGAGCGTTAGTGCCTGGGTTTGGAGTTGGTGTAGGAACCTGATTCCACTGGAGAGATTGTAACAAAAGATGTTTGTAATTATTTCCCTTCAAAAAATCTACTTCTTTTTTTTCGTTAAGAATTCGAGCAGCATCTGTTAGTGAAAAACTTACAAGATAACAAAAATACAAGATTACAATTGAAAATAAAAATGAAGAAATAAATCTCTTCAGGCTGAGGCGCGGATATCTCGCTCTCTTTAAGGAGATTCAAGCCCACTGCAGCAAATGTTTTTCACCGGTCCAGCAGTAGTCCTCTTTGACTTGTCCCCTCCAGGATACAACAGCCTTCACAAAGAATAACTCAACAACTCTGGACAAGAGTTGAGTCCAAAGCTCCACAAAAGAGAACACCTCCCTTCAACTAATAAAAACTCTCTTTTTAATTTGACTAACTCTTTTACTCTATATTTTTCTTGTGTGTTGTATCTCCCAAACCAAATGAAGACTATCACTATTTATAGTTGAGGAAGTCTTCCTACCAATTGATAGGAAGATAATGGGTAGTAAATAGTGAAGATAAATGGCCTTAGGAGTTACATATGTTACAAGGATAATGGAGGAGTAAAGAATAAGATAAATGGAGAAATAATGGTCAAATGCACCAACGGCTAAGACTGTTGCAAGAAAGGAATTGAATATAACACTAACTCCAACAAATGGAGTAATGCGGCAGTTATCTCCAAAATGGAGTAACTCACCAATTAAAAGACCACTAATGGGCAGTCCTTATTCCTTTCTGCAACATATTCACAAAGGCATAATAAGCCTAGGACATTCTATAACAATTTAATTAATATTAAAATGTTCAATAGACCAACATGTAGTCATACTTTGCTAATACAATAGGATTTTTAAATACCACATTACAGGCTAGTCTTAATTAGAAATATAATTTTTTTCCACGAGAAATTTATATTATAAAACATGAATTTTCATTTCATTTTCACCAAATCAGCTCACTAGAAAAATGTATGCATGTTGGAAAATAAATAATTCATTGAAATACTGGGCAATAACTATTGAACTTTTTTACTTTTCTCACGGATTCAGTCACTACATTTTTTTGAGTGGAAATTTTCAATAAAAAAATGCGTATTCTTTTTACATTAATTAACTAAAATAGAGAAATCGATCGTGTCAAGACGGTCGTATAGCTTAAACACTTACCAGAGATTGTTTCAAAATTCATACAGATGCATATTCCGAATTATTTATTTTTGTCCAAATTAAATATTCTGAAAATGGTAATTCATATAGTAAAGGTTAATATTAAAATAGTACCCTAGTAGTATATTTAAGCTTTCAGCGGAAGCTAAAAGGAAATGAAAACAAGGATAGAGATGACAAAAAAAGTAAGAAGTTGGTGTGTGAAATTGACCAAAGGACAAGTCTTGCTTCTCCATTGCAAATTGAATATCATCCTTTACTTTTAGGTATGTGCCAAATACTGTCAATTGTAGTTTTTTTAGTGTTCTACGCATAAGAATTTTCAAGCGTATAAATTTGAACCACTTCTGCTTTCTCAACAAATTTCCCTCTATTTTAATGTAAAAATTAAAAAGTTTAGTAGCATAATTAAAACGAAAAGAGTACTAATAATGTGGATATTTTTTTGGCCATGTTATAAAGAAGTGAGGGGTCGTTTAACAGTAGTAAGGAAACAACTTATTCATGTATTAGGTTTTGTATAAGTTATATAACGTCACATTTGGTAGTTAGTTAAAGAGTAAGTTATTCATGTATAGTATGATGTTTGATTGCAATTTAAAAATTTGCGTAACTAATACTCCCTCCGTCCACTTTTATTTGTCGTGTTGCGCTTTTCGAAACTCAACTTGACTAATTTTTAAAATTAAATTAGATTGCACTAATTCGATATTTTAAACAAAAAAAATTATATATTAAAAACTATACGAAAAATACTATAAATTGCTATTTTTTGCATATCAATATGATGAAAAATACATCGTAAAATGTTGGTCAAGTTTTTTATAACTTAATTCTAAAAAAGAAAATTATGACAATTAAAAGTACATGAAGATAGTACATGAATAAGTTAGGAGAAAATTGATGTATTAATGCAAGCTAAAAAATAGAATAACTATAACCAATATTACTAAAACCTTTATAATTCTAACCGGCCGCCAAATCACCCTGAAATGTTTTGAATTGAAATGTATATTCAAGAAGGAAAGTATTTTATTTCGAAAATAAAAGGAGAAAATGAATGATGCGGGATCCGTTTATTGTTTATTCACGTCCGCGGGCGGAGTTAATGTATAGTTTACGAGTTTGGGCAAATCAATATTTTTTTAATTTACTTTCTATCTTCTTCTGCGTCGCGTTCGTGCAGCATTGGAATATGTAGATAGTTTAATAATTTTCGTACGTGAAACGGTAAAAGTAAAAGAAGCAGGCAGCCACATTTGATGACTTAAAACATATTGACCAATGAGTCACTTGACTTGATGAGTTACGTTGCTTCTTCCTCACATCCCCTCTTTTTCCTATAAAAAAATATCACTCATATAAATACAACAACTAAATAAGCTCATTATTCATTACACTTGTCCAGCTTCAACAAGTTTCTCTTTTTTGTATTTGTATTTCATCCCTTTGAATATTCTCTTCCTTCCTCTTCTATTTGGAGACGGAATAATAATAATATAAGCACTTCTTCATCTGATACTTTCTAAGATACACCAACAAAAGCAGATCTCCAGTTATCAGCATATAAAAAGATGAAGGTTAGCTTTTATCTGTTTTATTTTTTTCACTCAATTTTAGCTAATTTTATCTTGTCGTGGATTCTGATTTTCAAGGAAAACTAAAATTTAAACTCGAAACTTTGATTCTTCTTTTACAGAAAGTGATTCTGAAATTGGAGTATTTCGACGAGAAAATCAAGCAAAAGGCCATGAAAAAAGTGTCTGGTCTTGAAGGTATTGTAGAATTAAACTCTTCTTTTTACTACTACTCTATCCGTTCAATTTTCACTGCTGTTTTAGCTCTTTATATTGATTTTGTAATAATTTCAACTTTGAGTTAAAACGACAGTGAAATTGAGATAGGATGAAGTAATTTCTAGATCCTGAATTTTGATGGTTTTGTGGTGTGAATTTGTTGCAGGAGTTGAATCAATTTCAATAGATTCAAAAGAGAAGAAATTAACAATAACAGGGAACATAGATCCAGTTTCACTAGTTTCCAAATTGAGGAAGCTTTGTCACACTGATATAGTCTCTGTTGGACCAGCAAAAGAGCCTGAGAAAAAGAAAGACGACGGTGCCAAAAAAGATGAAGGGGCCAAAAAGGATGACGGCAAAAAAGAAGATGCTAAAAAAGGGGATGACAAAAAGGGAGGAGACGATAAGAAGAAAGAAGAAGCTCCTCCAGTAATGAAAGCTTTTCCAGCTCCTATGTTGTATCACTATCAGCATCCTTATCAACATTATCAACCCCCTGTTCCTGCTTATTATCACCATCGAAGCGTCGAAGAAGATCCAAATTCTTGTGTTATCTGCTAAGCTGATATTCATGATGGATTTGTTTCATATCATGTTATCACTATTAATATATATTTCCTCTGAGTTTTGAGAGTAATTAAGAACAAAAATATCTTGTACAAATTTTTGTTTTCTTTTTACCCATGATCACATTTTTGTTCTAGTTTAATAATTTTGTTCAATTAAACGGTTCATTAGAACATCTCTTTATTTATGTATATATTGAAATGAAATGTTCGTTTGATATATGCTGAATTCTCAGCAATTAGTTTCTTTGAATTCTCTTGTTAAGACCCTCTGAATTGATTAAAGGTCACCTATTTCGAGTTATGGACCGACAAAATCAAAATATGTATGTTGGACATGCGCCCCATCAACCTACTAATGGAAAAGAAATCATAACATGTCGTAATAAAAATTTGATTCGAGACGATAATGGAGAATTTGGTAAAGAGTGAATCAAAGTTAAAAGACACCATTAATTAGTTGAATCTTCTCTGCCTTTTTTGGTAAAAGCGAGTAATTGTGAGGCAATGAGGGAAGAAACAATATAATTTGAATTGGCTATGGAATTCAAGTTTCCATGGAATAAGTCTAAACTCTAGCTTGCTGCAATGTTGGTCAATGTATGCTTTCCAAATAAAGAATTAATAATAAACATAAGAGTCAATTAGTTCTTTCTAGATTTGTGACATTTTTTCTAAGCAATTTATTTTTTATAGTTATGCCAAATATGATTTAATTAGCCGCCAATTCTGACAAATTATCATTAAGTGTAATGAAATGGACTTGTTAAATGATAAAAACCCACAAAAACGTACCCCCACAATTATTTTTGACGTTGCTCCATCAATGCCAAATTGATTATCCATGACAATGGCAAGTTTTCTTTTGTGTAATAAATAATTTTTTTTTTTTTAAAACCAACAACATCATTACAAGTTTGAAAAAAGTTTCTAAAGTCTTTTTTCCAGAGCAGAAATAATAAAAGGAGGAACAAGATAGTATATTAGGCTCCAAAAAATATCTAGGCCTTTATCGACAGGTCAACTTCACTGGTCACTTTGAAAAAATGCTTCAAGTCTATTATTTTAATTATAATATGATGTTAAAATTAAATTTATTAATAAAATACAAGAAATATTTGTTGAGTTGAGTCAATTTTTTTTATTTATTTACTAAGTTTTAAGTGTGCATGAAAGATCATTTTCTCATTAAGTTTTAACATTTTCTAAAATAGAATTGCCATCTATATTTCTTCGGCTTAGAGATAGTTATATTGTTATTTGAGAATACGTTGGATTAGATGAAAATCATGCAATTATTGTCTTTATAAAAAAAAAGGAAAATTGGTGATGAAAACGCCATTTTAGATTAATACCATGCAATAATTATTTAAGAACAAAAAGGTCAATTTTTAGATGAAAACTATGCGATTTTTGGTGATAAAAACAATTAGGAGTGACATAGACCGCTATATTTTGCAAAGCATTTAAAGATTATCTATTAAATAGATCTTGGACCATATCCTGTATAGGCAGCATTAGAAAAAAATTGTTACGTTGAGTATCTGCTGCATCAAGAATAATAATATACTCCCTCCGTCTCAATTTATGTGATGTATTTCGAAATTCGAGATTTAAATAAATCTATTTTTGACCGTAAATTTTTCATATATATTTTTAAATATTTTGGATTATTAATTATTGTGCCTTATAGTACTTTTTACGTAGTTTACAAATATATAAATTTTATTTTTAAAAAAATAGAAGATTCCATGAGCAAATTCTCAATCAAACTTAAATTGTTTGACTCTCGAAAATAAAATGTGTCACATAAATTGTAACAGAAGAAGTACGTATAACTTTTGCTGGCCACCAAAAGCCAATTTTACGTTAAAACCAAAAAAAAAAAAGTCTCAATCAATTGTGAGAAAAATCATGTTAACAAGTTGTTTGAAAAATTGAAGAACAAAATTAAATAACTGGAGGGTCATTGCATAATTCAATATGTCAGCATAAGAGCAATTGCATCATTTGATGTAATGCTAATTAGAAGTATAAGCAGTAGCATTATGATCATCCTGCAGCTGTATTCAAAAGGAGCTGGAGTATTGCTACTTTGAGTTTTCATGTTTGATTATGAGAAAGAAAATGGGAATGATTTTTTTTCGATTTTCTAGTTAGAATAGATTGATATACCTATCCAATCGATAATTGTTTATGACTGACACACTGTATGACTTGTTTTGTTTACAAAGGTGTGAGCTTTTGGTTATTATGGATATGAATTGAATTTTTGATGGCTATTTAAACTCATGCAATAACGTGTTAGTAAGACTTGAAACTTTTTTTTTTTTATGGGTAAATGTAAGACTTGCTACTTTTCTTTTCAAGTTTATGCAATAGTCTTGACCGTTGACTGTTTGGGCTCGCAAAGAATTCATGAATTGAATGAGTCGCATTAACTAGAGAGGAGAGTCATCTTAAGATATTAGTAATGGTTTAGAAAAAATGTTTAACTAAGTAGGTATACAATTATAACGAAAAATTATATAACTAGACATACTTTACTATCATATATATACTATTATTACCTATACTTTTTAAAATATTATGTATCTTACAATATATTGAAGAAAATACATTTAGATACATATATTTTTGCTACCAGATGATACACAAAAATAGAGAGAGAGCTGAGCGAGATTCGTATGTATCCCAGATACAAACGAATCTCACTAGATACATTTATCTGGAGTGATTCACATATATCTGGGATACCAGATACATGAGAGAGTGGCGAACGAAATTTGCTATATATGTATCGCACATACATTCAAATCTATTTGGATAAAAATGTATTTAGAACAAAGTACACATAATTTTGACTCTATCTATCTGGGATACATGTATCTGGACGTATCTATTTAAATAAGTTCCACAATGATCCCTATATATAATATACTAGTGTCATTTGGTCCGTGCTAAGTGTGGGTCCAAAATCAATGTCAAAAATAAATTTCTAGAGAGTTTCTTTTTTTAAAAAAACGTCCTGCTTTAACTTCTTTGATTTTGTAGCATCAGTTTGATACTTTTTAAAGACTTCTAAAATATTGAAGTATAAAATGGTATCTGAAAATTAAAGGATAATATTTTTCTTAGTAATGTATTAGACTTTTTAAAAATAAAACAAAACAAATGCATGCATGAAAGCTCTCTTCTAAGTTTTATTTTAGTGAAATCTTTTCAGACTGATGATTCAAATTGAGCTTTATCATAAACTGTTTAGAGATCAAACTATATTTTCTTAAACTACAATTTTTCAAGCATTTTTAGAATATATATAAAAATAATGTTTGATAATTCTTCTTTTAACGTAGTAATTTATTGGGAAAATTTTACACGCATTTTCTCATTTATTTTCAAAAGATAATTTGAATATATGAAAATGAATAGTATAAATTGCAATTCACCTATCAACATGGTGATGCTCTTTTCTAACATTTTGATTAAAGTTCATATAATTTGATTCTCAAAAACTGAAAAGTCATAAATATTATAAAATTGAAAAGAAACAATTTAATAAGAAGCAAAAAAGAAATATTAACCAATTACAAAAATTTATATGGGAATTTTAAAAAAGAGAATAATGGCAAAGCAATATCCACCTTTAAAACTTCATATCATCAATTAATAAAATTTAAAGGGAGTGAACCACAAATATTAATTTGGTCCAATTTTTTTGGGCACAAATTGTTTTTTTTTTGTCCGCTAGGCAAGGTGTGCCTAGGGCTAGTTTTATTAATAAAATGAAAAGGATCTCAAAGAGAAGAGTACAAGCAAGGGGGCTAGGCCTTACCTTACTAATCTTAATGAGGTAACAAATTGATTATTTTAAGCACAATAACTAAAAAAAATTCCTACAAAAAAAAATCACCTTTTATCTTTCACAAATAAAATTGAAATTTTCATTGATCAAATCTTAAAAAGAATAAATTGAAACTGCATAAGAATAAATACTCATAGCACAAAAAGAAGAAGAAGATAAAAGACGATATGTTTAGTAATCTATGTTTCAATTTGTTTATCCTAACTTGATTTGACAAATAAATCGAAGCCGAGAGGAAGTATACATTTTATACACTAAGTATTGAATTTTTTAGATTTAGTAACTTAACTTAAGTATGGATATAATTCAGCGCGAACGAAGTAAATGATTGAAATGAAAGCTTGATCATTATTTAATAACATCTTGCGTTTATAATCGTATCGTGGGTCAATCATTCACGAGATTAATCAAAATAGGTACTAGATCCATAAATTATAATTAGGATGAGTCGCAAGTCGCAACACACTCACAAATAAGACTCAGACTCATAGTTTATGAGAGAAAAATTGATCTGATTCTTCTAATACCTAGTTTGTCACGATCTAATTTTGGTTTTCTTTTTCCTTGGGAATTTTCGTAAAAACATTTTGAATACAAATTAACAACGTAACTACTCGATGGCACAGTATATATGAAGTCAAGGTATGAAAAGATTGTGTTTTGACATATTCGGGTCAAATACGTTTGCTAGCGGTTCATTGACATTCATATAAACAATCATAATTAATCAAATTTGAAATCAATATTGACATAAATTTCAACCTTAAATAATACATAATTACAAAAAAAAAAAAGTAGAATAAAAATACTTGTATTACATGTAATGCCAGATATGAGCAAAAACATGAGATTACAATGGGAACAAATTTAGTATTTTTTGGTCAAACAAATTTATCTTTCCCTAAAAGAATGAACCAATATCTCCTAGATAATTGCTATCGACACATTTAAAAGCTTATTGATTTATTTGTTTCATTTAAGGTATCGTTAGATTGTTAATACAATAAGTAAGCCAAGACTTTATATATATTCAATTAGTAGCCACGCCCAATGCAATTTTAGTATGCGGATATTCGTTATAAGGAGGAGGAGGATGAGCAAACTCTTTGCGACCTGCAAAGTTCCTTTCAGCAACTTGGCTTGTTATTTGAGTATGAGCATTGGTGCCTGGGTTCGGAGTTGGTGGACGAACAGAATTCCATTGTATAGATGGTAACAAAAGATATTTACCTCCCTTCAAAAAATTTACTTCTTTTTTTTCATGGTTATCGTTAAGAATTCGAGCAGCTTCATTTGATGTGATGCTAATTAGGAATATAAG